GTTAGATATGATACTAGGACTATTCTCTATTCATAATCATGTTATTTTTTTATCATACCCCTTGACCAGTAACTTTCATATCTAATAATTTACATCTCTACAGCAATTAGGTATATGGCTTGTTTTTTTATGCAAACCTATTCTCTGCAATTTCTAAATCTCAAAACTAATCAAAAGTGAACTAGCCTTTCCTTTCTGGTTAACACTAACCTACCCACAGGAAACCAGTCTCTTTGTCTTTCCCTTTTCCACATTACAATCCTTCCTTTCTACTGTTTCACTTTAAAATATGCTTGTCAATTAGAATTAATTTTCTGCTATATATTAATATGGGTTTGAACACATTAGCACTGTCATTCACTTGGCACTATTTTTATGGATGCTAAGTAGTAACAGTTTTACAATTTGCATCATTCTATCTACTTAAAGTGTACTTTTAATGCTCTTGTCTTTTCTTCTGATTATAAAAATATACTGACCTTGTATTTATTCAAATTTCACTGTCAACTCAGAAATTTAAACCCAATAAGAGAACTAAACATAATCAAAAGTCGCATACAAATCAAATGTGACCAGTATAGACCAATCTATATGACGCTGTTAGTTGCTTGCTTTTATAAAATGCAACTAACGATGTTGCCGTAATCACAGAAGTTGGCAAAATTCTAGTGAATTTTACTATTATCCTTGCATATCCCCCACTGGCCTACAAATGATAATAATTGACAAGTATGTTAATAAGATGGCTAACCCCATACTGCATTTTTTAATGACTTTTTTACTTTTCTTTGTATTCGTAGTGTTGTGTTTTGTTGAAATCCACATAAGGCTTTACCAAGATCTGTGATGGAATGCCTATAATCTAAAGTTCAGGCTTAAGAGTGATACAGTATCACATGGCTACTCTGGCAATCACAAGACACTAACAGATTGTATATTGTGGAGGCGTGTTGGTCTTTACTGGAGTGCCAAAGGTGCTGATGCATTACCAATTATTTGTCACTGCATTACTCTTTGGCTTTATTTTAGACTGTAGACCTTCTATCACAGATCGGTAGACATGGATAAAACACGGTATTAAAACTATGAGGAAAAACTCGCATTTTGAAAGCCATAAAGTTAATCACTATGATTTACCAAACTAATATAAAATGCTTTCTGTTCTCTATTTTTACAACATTTACACAGCAATCAAGATTCTGTTCTACTAGAGATTCGTTCTTAGCTCTAAAGATCTTCATGTGTCTGTGATATGTATTGAGAATGGTATTTTCATAATTCTATAATTCCAGCCATGACTCTGAATACAAGTTACCTAAAATCTCCAGCTGAAAAAGTACAGATTATTTGGAAGCAGGAAAATCTGACAGTACATTCTCAACATAGAAAATAAGATAAAATAAGAAGAAAAAAAACTTTCAAGTCACTACACATGACTCATGATTTACAAAGAACAATAACAGATGAAAATATCCTACAACACATACAACAAATAAAATCAGCTGCACTATCCCTAAAAACAAAGAGGGATAGTAATATCAAAACTAAAATCCAAAAGCAGTTATTCAAATTAAACCACCACCAAATAAACAGGAAACAAGAAAAAAAAAATCACCGAGTATTAAGAGATAAAAGTAGAAACCACTAAACCTGCTAAACTACAATACTACACCTGCGCCAAGCCTCCCCTTCACACCTTAAATAAAAACACTCACCAGGTGCTCCTCATCCACGGGCGCCTGCAGGACCGAATTCTGCTCCTGGTCGCTCTGGAGCTTCGAGGAGGACATTCCCTTCGCGATCTCGGCGTTAAAACTCGGCGGCTCAAGCACTGGCAGGGAAGAATAATCCCAGATCTTCCACACCAGAACCATCACCAACACCAAAATCATTATCCGTATTAGCCGTCCGCCCCCCATGTCCATGTTCAAGTCAACGAGGCAGAAGAGGAAAGAGGTCGAGGGATTCTCGCATTGCCAACAAGACTCCCCCTCGAGCAGCAGCTGTCAAGTGGCCGCAGACGTCAACAATCCCTTGGCATCTGCTTCGTTATATTCTCTTCTCGTTAAGTAAACTTTGAGGAATATTTGGATTTATTTATCAAGGTTTGTGTTTTCTTTTATTCATGCGCTACTGTATGCTTGAATTGTCTGTTCTCCGTGATATATTTTTTTTACATAGCAGATACGATTCTCAGCGAAGAAAGTCCGCCAAATTCAAAATGAACCTTCGGTCCATGTTACACCTGTCTTATTGCGCATATATTTTGGTAAATTAGAAAAAAATAAAATGTTGATAAAGTGAATGAATATTCAAACTAGTCTTTTACCCCCCCCCCCCATAACCTTGGTGTGTAACCAAATCGTGCTTTAATATTACACATGAATAGTAATGCTCACGGTTCTGCCGCATCAAAATATCCTGATTATTCTTAACTGCAGTTATTATAAAACTGTAAAATACAATGGTTTGGAGAGAGAGAGAGAGAGAGAGAGAGAGAGAGAGAGAGAGAGAGAGAGAGAGAGAGAGAGAGAGAGAGAGAGAGAGAGAGAGAGAGAGAGAGAGAGAGAGAGAATGTATTATCTTTACTGTATGCTTAAAACCTTGCACTGAAAAAAAAAAGAAGTTAATAACAAAATTGCTGACCTCCTGCACTGCATTTTTACAGAATAGTTATTATGGAAAGAAAAGTCAAAGCAATAATATTTAAAGTTAATCTATTCTGTGTACATCTGTGGATGTTCTAAAATCTTGTAGAGGGAACCGTCCCGCAGATGGTGAGGTAGTTGGGTCTAGGGGGGGAGGGGGGCTTTGTCTTAAATGAGTCACTCATTTTCACACTCTTATATGAAGGTTGAATAACCCACGCGAATATAAACCTCCACGAAGAAAAACTCGGCAGTGAGCGGCGTCAGTGAGTCCAAGGCACTCGAGCGGGTTGGCAGTTTTTATACCAGTATATTAATCCCTTCTCGAGCTAAATTATAACAACTACAATTACCAACTGATATTCTTCTAGGGAGGATAAAAATCCTGCCAATTTGAAGGTTTTATGATGAAAAAAATAGAAGCTAAAAATCATCATACAATTTTACATGTCTTTTTTTTCGTTATGAATGTGGTGTACATGTTTCGATTTTGACAGACCTCACATATATTTAACTTGAAGGTTCGACCATAATGCCTGAGCAGTGGCGAGTCTTTATCTAAAAAAATAAACGAACGCGACGCGACACAAGTATATGTATGCACATGTTTTATGTACATTTGCATATACGTGTACACATATGTACGCAATTGTACATGTACACCCACATACACATGTATGTATATGTAAGCACATGTAGATGCTAGAAAACACAAATACAAGTGGTCTGAGTCAAGCAATAACTGCGTTTATACATGCACCATGTTGCTGAAGATAGCATATACAAAAGGTACCATTTTCGTTTATACTGTAACTCGGGAACCAGTCAAGACTACTTCATGTAACAAGAAATGTGTGTAGTTTTATAGCTAATTGAATAATAAATTTTCATTGAAAGAAAGATTTTGAAAATTAACAGAAATATTCACAATTTTCGTCTCTCTTTTCATCAAACTGAATTTTAAGAGCTTCTGTACAGCTATTCTCAAGCAGTTTACATCCGATGTAAGGCTTGTTTATAACATTGGGAAGCTAATGGAAAAGCGCAGAAATTGACCTCGGGGATTTTTTTTCTTCCATTTATTTTTAGCGATAAAAATAATGCCCATAATACATGGCTTCTTCGTACAGAGACTTTCTGTACACATAGATACATGTCTACACGCATATGTACACACATTTACACATACATGTACTCAAATTAGTACACATGTGTGCATGTTTGTGTTTATGTGTACACATGTGGATATTTACTTCCATACAGACATGCACAAACTTTTTAACAATTGTACATGTATGAAAAACATTAACATAAATGGTCTGATACTCACAATAACCTTGTTTCTAGATTGGGTCATGTTCCTAAAATTCGAATTTTTCTACTTTTTGGAGGGGTTACTTTTTAAAATGTGTTATAACTTTGGAACCAATTGTCATATCGTCATGCAACAAGCATCATTTGGAAGAGAAATGAATGTAGTTACTATGGTAATTGGATGATAAAAACTGATTGAAGGAAATGAACATAAAATATCTCCAATCTCTTCTCCTGTATCGCTATTTGCAAAGTTATTTGATTTAAATTTTGTTGGTATCAGCTGAAAGCAGAAATTGACATAAGCTTTTTTTGAATTTCGGTACCAATTTTGGGGGGGAAAATTTCTGAAAATCTGAAAAAATGCAGATTTTTTTTCTTTTTTTTTAAAGAAAACTAAGGCTAATTTTGAAAAAAGCTTGTCTCAATCCCTTTGGATTTTATCGATGTTTATGCTGTCTTTTTTTTTATTGCAAAGTATGCAACAGTGTGGACCAATAGCAGAAAGCATATACATATATGGTGAAAAAAGGATTTTGAGGGGGGATCACCCCCTTTGGGGAATTTCCACAACTTTTGTATCAAAGATGTGGAATGCTACAGTAAACAAAATATCCAAATTAAGAGAAAATCAATAAGATAGTTTTGTTTTTATTAGTATTTAAAAAAATTATCCCCCTTCACCCCTCATCACTTTCAGGAATGGTCTTCTTAAGTCATTTCTATATCACTCAGTCACGCCAAGAGAAATTTATTTGCAAGATCTGAAACTTATCTCGAGTAAATTCCACTGGATAAGAAATACTACAATTATTTCAATAACTTTATATAAACTTGATAAACTTGACTAAATAGTCATGGTTCATGACAAATGCATATGGATTGAGCACAGTTGAGTACATTCATCACCCCAAAACACTCATATAACAATAAATTAAATTAGTAGTGTTTAAATCATTGTACTATATACTAATTATGGTATGTGTAACTATACAAAAGCTTTCAATACAAAATCCTTCTTTTAAGAATTCTTATACAAAAGAAGTAATGACTGTACACGCTTAACCAGTAGTTAGCTCTATAATAGAAAATGTTTTCCCTAAAACAATGCTTTCCAATGTGTGTGAATAAAATTATCTATTGCCATCTAAGGATGTCTGTAACAGAAATGCTGCTCTCTTAACATATTCATATGCCTCTTGAATGGCTATCCGGTTATCAGCTTCTGCAGCTAAATTCACGACTTCTTCTAAAGCTGACATGAGACTTGCTCTGTCTTCATTAATTTGCGCATGTAAACTCTCTTCCTCTTCTATCTCTGGTGTCACATTGAGATGAGTTTCCACTTCAGGAGCTGACACAAAGTGCGTCGATACGTCCATTTCGTCAGGAGATTCCTTCATGAAATGCAAGGTGAGATAGCCTTCAGTTAGGCTGATGACTTGGTGTTCACTTTCATCTTCATTTAACAAATCATCATCAAGAACTTCTGTCTTTGTGGTGATGACACACTCAACTTCTGGGTTTGTAACATGCTCTACTTTAATTTTCCTTGGTGTTACATTACACATAATCCCTCTCAAAATTGTTCGTATGTCTTTTATCATGGGATAATAGCATCTGTTTCCACTTGATGCTTCACTTAAACTGAAATTCTCTCTTACAAATTCAGCAACCAAACTTTTTATTGTTTTTGGAGAATTCACATTTTCTTCAGTCACAAGCTTTGTAATATACTCCACAATTTCAGGATGCACTGGTAATGACCTTTCCTCATCCACTTCATTCAGATGATTCTGATGGTGGCCTCCTCGGCTAATGGCAACTACGAATCTCTCTTCACCCTTCACATCTCCTCTCTTAATGGCCTGCTTCAGCAGCTTTGCAAACTTGCTCTTTATTTTTTTGCTTGACTCTGGCCTCACAGCAAAATCAGGAAATGCCTGAAAAATAATGAATTTGAAATTCAGTGGAGTATGACAATATCCATTTTTATTACAGAATACACTTGCTTAAATAACAATACTTCTGGCTTGCTTATTTAAATGATTTTAAACCAATGCCACCACGAAAGTGCTGTGTTCATTTTTTTTCTTTTTCTTTTTTTTGCGAAATGTCTCTGGACATAGTTGGCTCCACTAGTGCTTAGCCATAAAGAAATCAATTAGTAGACCTTGTGACCTAACCTGATTTCACCTTTGCTTGAACTTTTTTTTACTAATGTTATGAGTATCGTTGGTGTTATTTTTATCATAGACTATAATGTTATAAGCATTAGTAACAGCAAAATAAGATAACGTAAACTTTTTTCATAAATCAAGGAAAAGGGTAAACGAGTGAGACTCATAATTGGCGCAATGGTGATTTAGTAAAAGTGTAGCCATCTACATGTCAAAAAAATTATTAAAGAAACTCATAATGGGTATGGCATGTATGTAATGCCATGCCTTTTTGTCAAAAGACAAACCTTGAGTAAAAGTTTTATTTTTAATCATTATACAAGACTCTTTTGAAGTTTAAGACAAATTCACTAAACTTTCCTCCAGCACAAAGAAAAAATTACTCATTCTATGTCCCCTATTAAAACAGGCCTAAATACTTGAAAACAGCTCTAGTTTAGATACCACTGTGACTGATAGTGAAGAATACCTAGCAATCACCATTTAACCCATTGCCCCCAGGGAAAATGAACAAAAAATGGGGGAAATGCATTACTCATTTTTTATATTTTTGTGAAATATCTCTGTCTGTAGATGGCTCTGCTAGTCCTGATTTCACCTTTCCTCGAATTGGCGGGAAAAAACGTTTTCTTACTAGTTCTATAAATATAGATGGTGTTATTTTTAACAGCAAATTAGGATAGCGTTAAATATTTTTGTAAATCGATGAAAAGGGTGAACGGGCGAGACAGGCAGTACTCGTAATCGGCTCACTGGATACTTAGTACAAGTGTAGCCATCTATGTGAAAAAACAATCAAACAAGTCGACTCACAGTGGGCATGGCAAGTACGTATATGCCATCCCCGGCGGCAATTGGTTAAGGACACAGATACTTAAGATGAAATGTCCCTTATAAGTCTCCTTACTAATATGATTTGTATATTGTACAAATTATTTTAAACACGAATACAAACATTCAAAACACATGAGCCTACCTGCAGGAGACATATTGAAGAGGTTAATCTAAATGGCCATGAATCTTAAACAATTGTTCATGATATTGTATAACATGAAATGATATAATACAATGTGCCAAAGAGAATGCAATAATTCTAATGGATGGCAATTGGAAAATTTGCAAGGGAAAATATTATTATTATTATTATTTTTTTTTACTCTATTACCTGACAACATGGTCCAGAGAATGACGAACACTAAAGTATTTAAACACACTGACACATAATAAAAAAGGGGTAAAAACCCATGGAGCAATATGCTACGCAAGTGGTTATACTGATGTAAACAAAATGATGGCCCTGCCAACTTGCAAAGTAGTCGCTCTTGTCCAGTCTTGCCACAACTCTGTCCATAGAATGTGGAACTTACAGACTGAGTCAGATGCTCCAAAATTTGTCCACTGCTTCTGATATCCATTAACCCATTTGCGACAGACATGCCATGTATACGTGACATGCCCAATGTGAGTTTACTTGCTTAATTGCTTTTACACATAGATGGTTACACTTGTACTAAAACATCAATGAGCCAATTACGAGTACTTCCTGTCTTGCTCGTTTACCCTTTTCTTTAATTTACGGAAATGTTTTACATTATTTTATTTTACTATTACTAATGTTTATAGCATTGTAGTAATTATAATATTTATAATAAAAATAACACCATTGATATTCATAGCACTAGTAAAAAATACATTTTCCCGCCAATTCAAGGAAAGGTGAAAACAGGTAAGGCAGAGCAATCTATGTGTAGAGACATTTCACAAAGCATAGCATTTTCCCCATTTTTTATTAATTTTCCCCATCGCGAATGGTTTAATAGGAAGCCCATAAACCCAAGGTATGAGTTTAGGACTTTTTCTCCAATAACCATATAGATTTTAAAACAAGAAACTCTTTGCCAAAAGGGCTTTAAGTGGCTTGAAACAAAGAAATGGTTTTACATGATTCATCCCATAATATAGCTGCTCCCAACCTCTGACACATTTGTGACATCTTGTTCAAGATATCCTACATCACATGAAATGATACAATAGAAAACCCTGTTCTTTTTGTACACTTTTTTTAACATTATTGGAATCACATATAATCTCACAGCTTTTCTTTCACAAATCCAAACAAGTAAAAATATAGCTCCGCTTGACTTTTCCATGGGAATACCATAATTACTTTGCATCTATGAATATTTATGGATATGAAAAGAGGTTTACTAGATCCAGTTAGTATTTCTAACAGCATTCTGACACACATTATGTAAAAGTAGACCTAACTGTCACAGTGTTTGAGAAACTATAATTATATACAAAATTCTTCCATAACCCCTTGAATACTTTGTAAAGGCAGAAATAAAAAATCAAACCGAGAAGTAGCTAATCCTAACAGATTCTCTAAAAATAGTTATCTTACTGTTAAAAGAAAGAAAAACCTTACCTTTATGGTTCTAATGCTCATCCTAGCTGGGCAATCATTTTTTATTGTGCCGTACTCTTTTCTCTTCTTCTTTGGAGGTTCATCTACTTCAATAATAACCTCTTCTTTTACAGGCACAGAGTTCTTTCTCTGAAATTGAAAGATATTGCACATAAAAACAGAAGATAACACATATTCCCTAGGATGGGAATATGGTCAAACTCAACAGAAAATTCCACACACTTCAAAATCAAAAAGTTGCACACATACATTTAAATATATATATGAAAGTGAGTCAAGTATGGTGCACTAGGGATGAACATAAAAAAACTGTCTTAACCCAATACCGACGGGCATGACATGTACGTACGTGCTATGCCCACTGTGATTACTTGTTTGCTTGCTTTTACGCATAGATGGCTACATTTGTACTAGTTATGAGTACTGACTGTCTCGCCCGTTTACCCTTTTCTTTGATTTACGGAAATATTTTACGTTATCTTATTTTGCTGTTACTAATGTTTATAACATTATAGTAATTATAATGTTTATAATAAAAATAACACCATTGATATTCATACCATAGTAAAAAATACGTTTTTCCCATCAATTCAAATCACGTAAGGTCGCAAGTTCTACTAACTGTCTCCTTTGTGGCTAAGCACTAACAGAGCTATCTGTGTGCAGAGACATTTCACAAAAATATAGAAGATTAGCACAGTATTTTCTCCATTTTTTATTCTTTTTCCCCGGCGGCATTGGGTTAAGAAAATTTAAAGTTCTTAATACATCCCACCTGACTTTTGGCATTTGAACATCTAGTCTTTCACATGGTATTTGGTACATAGTACAGTGTCCAGCCTAGTAAACAACTTCTATCAAAATCTTATATTCACACACACACACACACACATTCATGTGCGCAAGCACGCACACATACACACAAACACACACAAACAAATACACACACACAAACAAACAAATACACACACACACACACACACACACACACACACACACACACACACACACACACACACACACACACACACACACACACACACACACACACACACACAAACACACACACACACACACACACACACACACACACACACACACACACACACACACACACACACACACACACACACAAACACACACGCACAAACACACACACACACACACACACACACACACACAACACACACACACACACACACACACACACACACACACACACACACACACACACACACACACACACACACACACACGCACACATGCACGAGTAAATACATATACACATATACATGTATACGCACACAAGTAAACTTGTATACACTTACATGTATACAATGAAGTCAAGTAAACTCATATACACATATAAGAAAACACACAAGCATGCACATGCACAAGAACACACACACTTACAAATATATAGAAAATTGATAAATGAATAAAAAGAAAAAAAAAAAAAAAAAAAAAAAAAATTAACAGTTAAAAAACACTTATAAGAAACTACTACAGTACCTTCCAGTATGCTCGCCCTCTCCTGCAGTCCTTGTTCACAACCCGATTGATTATGAAGGGAGCATGGTCATCTAAACTCACACCCTGAGGAGGAGCACCTTGCAATTTGGGGAGGACCCAGTGGATACTGTCTTTTGTTTCACCTGCAGAGAGAATAGAATATAAATAATAGCTAGCACTAGCAACAGTGACAGCAAAAAGAATATAGACAGAAAAATTATGGTATTGCCCATGAAGGACTCATAAAACGACACTATTTATTAGTAACAACAATCTACTGAGAATGAACAAAAGCCCATATTAGTTTATTAAGGATACACCTCCAGTGACTCAATTATTCACTGGTCCTAAATGTATTCAGCAATTTACCAATCGGATATCAAACCTCCATATTTTTTACATTTGAAAAAGAGAATTACATTAAAAGTAAATTGCAGTTTTATGTGTGACAATGACTGATCATAACTTTGCATCTTCAAAGAAAATTTATGCAGGGTTACCGCACATTTAATCTGCTTGCTGTGAAGCTTGGTAAGGCTGGACTTATTCTCTGTATGGCCTTTATTACAATCTATTTTCTTCAATCCCTGTGTTATTCTTTGCCTGCACACACTATTTCATATATTAGTAAGAAAGGTTTTTTCATTCCTTGAAAACAGTGTCCTTAAATTTTCCTTATCTTAGCGAAGTCATTATGCAAACATATACCAAATTATGTGGTAATTATGTGTTCATATCACTGAAAGGAAACTCTGCCCCTAAAACACCCTTGGAGAGGGACTGCCACCAACTCAACCTCGTTCCTGGAGAGCAAATTCTCCACCACATCTAACTTGAAAGACAGAGCCTAGACAAAGTTTCAATTACATTCCTGGAGGTGTGATAACACAGCTCAGTTACAGCAATGGGTCTGCAAGGTAAACATTTCTCACTACTCGCTCAGTCCCAACCCGATGTGCAAATTATGGGAGTAATCAGCTGTTTGTACTGTTTATTTACTAATTTTTCCTGTTAAGTACTACTATATTTGGTTAACCCATTCGTGCCGGGTGTCACGTATACATGACATGCCCACTGTGAGTTTACTTGTTTAATTGTTTTAACACATAGATGGCTACACTTGTACTTGTACTGCCGGTCTCGCCTGTTTACCCTTTTCTTTAATTTACAAAAATATTTTATGTTATCTTATTTTCCTGTTACTAATGTTTATAACATAGTAATTATAATGTTTATAATAAAAATAACCATCGATATTCATAGCACTAGTAAAAATACATTTTCCAGCCAATTCAAGTAAAGGTGAAATCAGGTACGGCAGAGCCATCTAGTGTAGAGAGATTTCACATAAAAAATATAAAAAATGTGCACAGCCTTTTCCCCATTTTTTGTTCATTTTAACCCGTTGCGAATGGTTTAATAGTCATTATTAGAGTTCACTGAAACAAAATTTTATAGATTTTCAGACCTATTCTCAAAAATTTAAGGACTACTTTTGAATAGCTGATATTGACAATATATTTTGCATTTTTTCCTTTTTTTTATTTGTATTACTATTAATAATTTGGATTACTGCAGCTTTTCAATCACATACATTAAATATCATCACCATATGTTCATGTGAAATCTAAAGTTCTAAATATGACAGAAAAATAATGAAAGGAAATGAGTACATTTTAATTGATCTTTGTGCATTGGCTGCATAAAAGATATGCTAGTGCTCAGATCCAAAACTTTCTGCAACATCAGCTTACAGATGACCTATGATAGAGCACAGCAATTTAGGGAGATATAAGTAAAAAGGTCGTGGAAAATGATAGAAAATGTTATAGTGAGATTGGTGCTTCATAGAGAATTAATACATATATGGTGTGAATTTGTAGTGCCTTCCTTATTAAGCACACTCTGCATCTGTTTGAACTTCTTCCTATTAAAATTACTGTCCAATTAAACGCCTATCTGAAAGATAAATGAATGTCCAGGAAATGCCAGTCACGTAATCTTTAATCAAGATACTTCTACATACAACCCACCAACACTTAAAAAAAAAAAAAACCTCTCATAACACAACAACAACAACAAATAAAAAAAGAATGAAAAACTCCAAAATCTGAGACAAACTTACTATATTTCTCGACATTCCGCGTAGAAAACCAGAAATTCAGCTGATAAAGGTGGTCCCTCAGCTCCTTCAATTCCGCCCCATTATATAACACTCCCACGATTTTATCCTTATCCACGTGAATTACTCTCAGTTTCTCGATGCAAACCTCATCATAGCGAGCAAACCGAGCCTCCATGCTAGCAACATCAACGGGAAAAAATGGAAATCAGGTGCAGAGCCACACCAAACTGCAGGTCATAACATATTTTCAGTCAAAATGTACCAATGTTTATGTTTTGGTGGTGGTTTTTCAA